ACTACAACTAAGACCGATTTATGAGTTAAACCATTTAAAGCAACCGGGAACAAAACATTTTTAGTATTTGAAATTTTCAGTTTGTTTTATCAGATTTTAACACTAAATATAAAAAAAGAAACTTCACCATTATTTGAAAAAAGGATTTACAAGAATGTCCTCGGAGTCAGTTTTCTGTGTTCCTATGTCTGGATAACAGACGATTAAATTATAGGGAGAAACTAATTTTTTTTTCTACTATTTTGTTTTTGCGAACATAAGGTCAAATTATGCAGTGGAGGTAGGGCAAGTTCTTGTTTTCAAGTTTTCATAACTCTCGCAACTATCGACACTATATTCTTTAAAAGCCATGACAAGCGCGCATGCATGATTGAACATTTCAGTATTTAAGACAATCATTCTGTAGGTAAATAGAAAAATTTGTGCTTAGATGAATTACTAAAAAAACGAAATGTATGCTGGGACCCATAGTAGAAGTGAAACTTCAACGGACAAGTGGAAAAACGATTGGCAAAGGACAAGTGGGAAAACGAATCGCAACAAAATTTTTACTTCAAGTTTGACGGGCAGATTGTTAACGTACTTGTCCAATTTGAAAACCTGCCCGTAAAACATCAAGTAAAAATTTTGTTGCGATTCGTTTTTCCACTTGTCCGTTGCCATTCGTTTTTCCAATTGTCCGTTGAAATTTCACTTCTACTGTGTCCCAGCACACATTTCGTTTTCACAGGTTTACTGCAAATTATAATTTAGTTTTTACATAGACCGTAAAAAGAGGCAATGATACGCAGCCACGTGAGAAGCAAAGGTTAGAAAACAACAGCTGAGCACAGCACACGCCGCCGGGACTTAAAAGTCGGTTTATGTTTGACTATACATTTACATTTAAAAAACTTTACTTTAGTTTCTAATCCATTTCCATTGCATTAAATATTAAATTAAAAATAAAATAAGTTTTTAAAATAGTTAATTTCAATTTTTTATTAGTGTTGATTAACAGATGTTGGAAATCTTTACATTTCAAAATGAAAAGAAAGTAGGCCTGTTGGCTTTTCTTTTACACTAATAGAAGGTACGTAGACAAAGCCCAGCTGATATTTTTCTAATTTCGATTCATTATAATATATAATTAAATAGTGGTAATTTGTAACAATAAATAGAAATTTTATTAGAGTGCGAACTATAACACCTTTTCTCATTTATGCTGGGTAGGTAGGTACGTGCGCCATTTCCGCAAATTCATCAAAAGACCACCGGGGGGCAACGGCGGCATAATTTTACTAGAGAAATCCATGTCTCTTCGCAGCCTTCAACATTTAGCAAACATTGTAATACAAAGATTAATTACAGAACGAGAACATTTCGAATTAATAGCATTTGCATCGGCGAAATCTGAAACCTGGAAGGAACTAATTATACAATTGCTACCGCTGGCAATAACAGCATATTATGGTTGAAGACGTAGTCCAATTGCAACGATACGCCATTTTTGTTGTCAGTATAACAGATTGAAATTTGTGAATCCTAATTATTAAATAATAGTATTATCTACTTATAATTTTGTACACTAATGAAGTGATTTTTCTTTGTTTTTTACGATAATAAGTTGCTTTTCATGGCATAACTTCTTAGTGAGCAGCAGAATAACCTTTTTTGAGCATTTTAATATCGTCTCTATTGCAAACAATGGACGATACTTCAAAAATTTTGTGTTAGAAGGAAAATAAAAATGTGAAATTAGAAATTTAGTAAATTATAAGCTTTGTTAACTTTCTTACCTCCTAATATAAAACGAAAATAAAAACATTTGTAGACCTAAATGTGCTATGATGGAATTTATTCTTAATAACTTTTAAACCATTATCATTCGGATTTATTCAGTATTTTAAGGGTTAATTATATGATAATAATATTTAGCTTTTTCTTTAAATTTGGCAACTTTTTCCAATTCATACCCCCCGTACCCAATTATTCCATTCTCCTCCAGATAATACAGTTTCAGAATAACTACAAATGTAAAAAGCAACTATTATTTTACGTATTTTAATTAAATTATTGGGCATTGCTGCAGTTTCACTACGTTTATAATGACGTTTGAAAACGGTCAATTTTGCGGATGTCGTTTAAAAATATTAATATCTTGCCATCATCCGTGAATTAGTAAATATTCTTACCGCCGCGTACGTAATTACACATCTGCCGGAGATTTGAATTTCTCGGACACCATATTTGGCAATTCCTTGGGTTATAGCCGTTTCTATAGCAATTATACCATCGATAGCCGTGTAATTACGGATATGTATTTTATAATTACTCTCTCGAATCAACTCCTAGACGTTTACTGAAAGCTGCGATTGCTTTATATGGCACTTGTTTCAATCGGCTCGCCAATCAGACTTCTGAAAACTCTGAGAAGCAGGGGCATATATATATTTTTTTTTGTAAACGTTGAATGTCATAACCATTTTATAAGTCAACAATTCAGGAAACAACGGTCATATTCCGGTCACATTGAATTTTTTTAATTAATATCTAATTACATTCAAGACTGATGATGAAATTTAAGTAATTATTTTAATAAATTATTTTTTTTTGTAAATTTCATTTTGTACTCAAAAACTTGCTTTTGAAGATATACCTGAGTTTTCTAAATACTGACAATCAACCAATCTTCTACCTTTATATTAGCACTTTCCCTACTTTTTCTTTTACTTTTATTTACGTAATTCCCAATGCATCTAAATTTAATAACTGGGTACGCTCTAGACGATTACTAATACCTACAATAATAGTAAAAATAATAATTTGGTGCTACTTTAGTATGCAGTCTATTAATAAGTATCAGCTTTAATACGCGATATGTCCAGCATTTGCGGTAAAATGGACATGACTACGACTCCACGAACGAAGCTGACGGCCATGTCCTACGAGACCTTAATCTTTATTTCTTTCTCAAAAAAAGCATGTTTCTTCTATATATTGTTCTATATTAGGTTAGACCGGATATTAAAGTACAAATCGGTACAGGTAGATCACACGCCAGAGGCAGGCCGCATAGTTGTAGAAGTTGTAGCACGATTAGCATCAACAGCTCATCATTTCGGTGTGAGCTATGCTAAACAAATTAAAACTTTTTTAAAAACTCATAAATTATCTTTAATTAATTCCTTCCTGAAATGCTTGACAATCAATTCTATTTATTCCATGACCATTAATAAATCCTCTAGGCTCCCAAGCAAGTTGCTAACATCTTTATCAAGTAAAAAATATTTCTTGCGGCGATCGAAAAGCAACTTTTTATCAGAAACTGGCAATTAATTTATTGAAGTTCCCGTATTATTTAGAGTAAGATTTATACGCTCGCTGTTCCGACGAAGATACGCGCATTAAGCATTATGGTAACACAAGATAATAGTACCAAAGCAAACAGAACCACTGGTATAGCTAACTGTTTCTTCGTTATGTGTCCCGTCTCGTCTGTCTGTTACGTTTCAGCTGAGATTTATCGATTAGTTAAAAGTTGCAGTGGCAGTTGTTAAGTGGTTGTGTGGAGCTTTTCACTCGTATAAAATACGATTCTAAGCTCAATGGAAACGTGTCCTGTTTGTTACACGAACGTATACATCTATACATATGTGTCCCCTTGTTATTCGGCTTATAAATCTCTGCGAAGACGAGACACTAATAAATGACGCCGGTATTTTTTGGGAAATGACTGATTTTAATTTCACAATTGCTTGAAGGTAAAGAACAGACGATAAGCCAAGATGTTCTGGCTGCTCAAGATCTCTACATCAATATTATTAGAATATTCCTAGAAGAAGATAGCATCGAGATCACGCCTGTAACGTTTGTCGAAGATTGAAAGGGTGAGTGCTTCACAATTAAATAAACAGACCATTTTTAAAGTTATTTGGTCAACTGTTAGAGAAAATAAATCTAAAATCCAAAACTATACGCGGCAATGTAATCGAGGAAATAAAGCACAAAATAAAGCCAAACCTTCGAATTTTTGTACACTAAGTCGGATTAAAATGCAATTTTCTGCATTCGATTCGTGAGGCCGTCTACTAACTTTTTGATAATAGATCAATTTACCTACAAAAATGCTTTGGTGCTTATGACAAATGCAGTCTTATAAGTGTATTGCAAAGTTGTTATAAAATAAATCGGCCAATAATGATAGACATAAGTCCAATTTTGTAACATGGGGGTTTTGAGGGTTGTTGAATACGAATACGTAGTTGGCGATGACCTCCAAGGTACCTACCTCCCTTTAATTCATTGAAAATTAATTGAAATTAGTTACTCGGATGTTTTGTACGACCCTTTGGGAATTTTGAGGGTAAAAAATTGGACTTATTGCTATCATTATTGACCGATTCTTTTATAACAACTTTGCAATGCACTTATGACTGCATTTTTCTTATGTACCAATGCATTTCTGAAGATGAATTGATCTCTTACGTTCACAAATATTGTAGAACCGACTTACTCTACAAAATTCGAAGGTTCAGTGCCTCATTTGCTCGAATAATGTTTTTTACAAAGTACACAACGTTCATCAGCCTCACATTAAATGTTTCCGTTTTCTTTCTCGAGAAAGTAGGTTATTTCGGTGTAGTTCTAATTCGCAAACTGCCCTTATTTAATTTCATTTTTATACCTGTTTCTCCATCAGTTTTTTCAGAATTAAAAGACGTTGTTCGAGCAAAAAACACAAACACACTCCATAATAAGTTCGCCTGCCGTGCAATTATTTAACTTTTTACCGAAAATCGACAGATTTGACGCCGAATTAAAATTAGGACAAAAGAAATGAATGTATAATTCTCATATAGCCACTCCGTATTCCCCTGGGTTTGAAAATATGAATGCCTTCGTCATAAGTTTTACAGAAAAACACATCCAACTAATTAGAAAGCCTTACAGCTCAAACGGCTGTAATAGTTTTCTTGAACACTCAGTAGAAAAATAATGTAAAACCAAAAGTCACTTACCCAACAACTGCTTGATTTATTCCTGCTGGCACTCTGAAAATAAAACAGTAAATAATTATTAAAAATCATAAGTACCTATATGTAAAATTCAAAAATAGACAAAACGATGAAGGAGCGATTGTCTATCACTACAGAAATAATCTCGGAAGATAATAAAGTAACTCACCATATATTACATCATATCATGTTATCGTATTATATAATCTATTCTATATACATTCTGTACAACGAAGTTGAAAACTGATTTGCCGAAGAAAGCACATATATGCATAATTTCAAGCCACATTCTACAGTTAAATTAATGTTAAACCAAACAACATATACAATGCAGACTGCGTGCTGTATTTTGATAATTTAAACTTAATTGCAATCAGTTAATAAAAGCGACATTTACACCGTTCGCCTATAAACGCGAGCACGCGGCTCCGACCCGGCTCAAACAGGTTCATAACATTGCACAATCGCAAAGAGGATACAGTATAAAGTGCATGCGCCGTTTAAAAGCTTAAGTCCCTTCCATCATCGACTGACACGGACTGACGATAAGAAACAGCATTTGAGGTAAACAAGCAGAAAAAAGGTCCAATTGTAGATTATATCATTATGTGGTTAAAATTATAAGAGAACTCATGTTTCATATTACGTATTTATGGTAAATACTACGATATTTATAAAAGATTCCACTTTGGCCATTAATATTAGTTACTTACTTGGAATTATTAATTAATTGCTACTTTGATACTTTGATGTTGTAAATGTTACAGATTTTAATAGTGCACATGCGATTTTCATTCTACGCATGTGAACACTGCTGTCAATGTTGATAATGTAAAATATGAAATTTGTGCCATTCCTATAAATTAACGTAATTAACGAATTAACCGTAAATGTGTAATTTAAATTTAAACTAGCAGTGTGTTTTTCAATTTAGAGATATAAAAATAGCACGTTGCTTCTTCCCTTTCTCGGTATTTATAAAAAGCTTTTTGGAAATACTGCGTTACTAATTGCATCGTTACGTAAATTACTCCAATATAAATCAATTAAATCTGTGTAACGAAAGAGAGATGAATCTAACTAATAACTACTATTTTCTTTTTAATGAGAACAAAAAGAATGTAATTTTTATATCTTCTTGTCAAATTGAAACTTTATTTATCAGTAACGGCCTGGTTAGCGTAAATGATCAAATTTATTAATAAGAAAAGAACTACTTTGAACTAATTCAGGTTAAAAAATTGTACATAATAAATAACTCTTGATGTGAATTAATTCGGTGTGGTTTTCTTCTTATCAAATATTAAATACACTTTGGCAGTGGAAGGCCACGGATGAAAAAGCATTTCACATTTTGAATACGTACGTATAGTCAATACTTTTATGAAAGTAAATAAAGAACTCGGTAGTTAATTCAATTCAATTTCCTGTTCTATTGTTTTTGCTGATTTTCCATTACCGCAACGTTAATTGGGGCAGTTAAATTTGCATAAGAGACAAGATATACACTGAATATTAATTAACACGTAATAGTAAAGAGCCTAGTTCAGTTTTTTCGCTACAATTACTGTGGCAATAAGAAATTTTCCTTCGATAGCGTTTGAGTCATTCCTTAGTGTAATAATTATACACCAGCTTGTCGAGTGCAAATTAGAATTAACGCTAAATATTTCCATATCATTATCTTATCTTTAGGTAATAAATCTGTTATCGGTAATAGGTAAACAAATAATAAAATATTTGAAGAATTTTAAAATTTTGCCAAGGATTTGCTAAAATCCTTGGGGGTAAGCAAGTCTGAATTTGTTAATTTCCTGTTAGGTATATTAAAGATCATTCTGTTAATTAATTCTTTGGTGCTTAAAAGAAAATAAATTAGAAGCAGTTGCTTAAAGCAAGAAAGAAAGAATTAAAAGTTTATTTAAACGTTAAATTAATAAGAAAACTTACCGACGAGCAGAGAGTGATGTGAGAAATTTAAAAGAAAGTTACAAATAAAAGGAATCTATCAAAAATTTTCCTGCATTCTAACAATTTCCTGGCACATCGTGTACATCACTCGACACATTCGAGTATGGTTACCGCCAGGTAAAATATGGTAAAAAGAAACCAATCTTTAAGCACGAAGTTTTCTATCCAATAAATAACTTTTACTTGTTGTAAATAGCGCACTGTGCGTCTTTAATAACAAACCTTAATACTTTTTTAATGATCGAAAAACGGAAAAGTGTACCTTCTTAATTGAAATCGTTAATTAAAAAGGCGAACAATGATTGGCTTCCGAAATATACAAGATCTCGTTATACAAAACCTACTATTTGCTGGTGATTGCGCAGAATTCCATTGGCAGGCCGAATTACCAGTCGAGCATTATTAAATTAACGGACCCATATTCTTAATGCCTGCCACAAAAAAAATCATAATTGGGGTCTATACGTGAAAGCTCGACGCGTCCGAGAACTTACGCCGCCACTTGTTGAATGGTTAAGCCCACCTTCGAAATCTCATACAATGAATGAAATATTAAATAAGATTCTATTTTAAGTTCTGCATCGGAAATTTATCAAAATCACCAGGCGCCGATCGCGATTTCGATCTCATTAGATCTCGAACGAGTTTATGTAACATCGTGTAATGCTACCTATACTTGGATATACTACTACTACCACTCATACTTTTATATTATATAAACTACCTCTCTAGAAGCTTTATCGATTTCGTCAGTGATTTATTATTGAGACTGTGAATGGTGCGCTGATGAGATCCAATGAGATCGAATTTGCGATCAGCGCTTGATAGATTCGATAAATTTCTGACTAAACTCTTAAAATAAATTGTTCTTATTAAAATTGTTGTATCACGTAGATATTTGTACTGCATCGTCGATTCAGTTAGGCAGGTCGATTGATACCTTAAAGATCTTGCATAGCGCATAAAATACTTCATAAGCAGCAAATATCTGCTAGATGGCGTTATATTACCTATACTTGGAGACAGCAAACTTTTGCTAAGCAACTCCATAACAAATAATGATGAACTTTGCTTTGAGAACTGTAATATTAAAGATTAAAGTATGGCAAGAATTCTTGATGCCTTTAAGCTAAGAGACATAATACACCTATATATGTACCTATCTATGTGTACAGGTACAGAATGATGACCGTTATATAATTAGAGCAGATATTCATTTGGTGAAAATGACGGCTTTATAGAGGTCGGGGCTCAATTGAGCAATTATTTTCAACTTACTGTGTACAATTTATGGTAAAATAATTGTATTTGCAATTTGCGGGCAAAATGGTAAAGCCATAAAATAAAGAACGTCAGTGAGCGTTTGAGACCGAATAGTGAAGATAACTCTTCCCTACGTATGTCGAGATCATTTCTAGCTATAAATCTTGTACACAATTTAAAATTAAACCCCGTGTAAACTGCAGCCAGATAATGCCCTCAATCCAAAGCATACGAATTGCTTTTATATTACTGCCTATGCTGTTTAGACAAGAACGAAGCATTTTATGATAACTCATAATTCACAGTCCCTCGTTAAACGTCCACGTCAATAACATATATTCCACTTATTGTACTTACATATCGTACAGTTTAAGACAAATTGAAATTCTAACCTAAGATACTTCTCACGACTGAAAGGAAGTACATGCACGGTAAATCCTCTTTGAGGAGTCCATAAAATTGTACTTAAAAGTCAAACTGTTGTATTAAGTATCTGTAAGAAACGATAATGTAAATCTCACGTAAGGTATAAATCTGCAATTACTATTCCGAAAAAAATTCAGACCTTTTCAACGAGAGCTAAGGTCACGGAAACCGTAAATTTAACCGTAAAATAATGGTAAAGATCTATTCGATAGAAGCTTATACGACAAATGGTTTGCAGATGCGATAGGTACGAGTGTACCCACAACAAAAGACATTGCAACAAGGTACGCAAAAAAGAGATGCCTTCACATAAAGGTTAACGAAAGCTCTAGCAAAAGTGGTAGTTAAAATTGTATACGTATACATATGTGTATATTTAGCTTTTACTACTACTTATAACCGCTGTTATTTGTTCTTAGATAAACAAATTTAGTGCCACATTAACACATACTTAACCTAAACATGAGTATACTGCTGTATGAATCAGGAGAACAAACTACGAATAAAAGTGGGTAATCTTTGGACACGGCGATACGATAACTTCGCGATGTAAAATGTCCACAGTATTTAGGTCATTGAAATTGAACATTGGTATTGTTTCATGGACAAACGACACGACGTACGATGGACGCAGCGAGAACGCAAGAACCGGACAACTAACGTCGGCATGATCCCAAAGTTGAGCAGCTTCAATGGTAAAGCTGTGCCTAACGATCACGCCAGCCGAAGGTCGTGATTAAAGGTTGTGATTAAGGTCGTTCTGTGGTCTAAACGTCTGACGCGACCAATCCAAACCACGGTGCATACCGACTGGACCCAGCGGTCAATGGTATCATTTAAAAGTCTTCACTCAAGGCGATATATTAAGAAAGAGAGAGCAGCGAGTATACGAACGAGAATGAGATAGACATAACGCAGGGAAAGGTGCAACTTTTGTTACATCCAAAATTTTCCAGTATAAGTTTCAAACTAGTAAACAAAACCCAATTGTAACGCTATTTAAATCAAGAACACTGGCATTCAAATGAGTAATGCTTTGGAGAGAGAATGGAACGTAATTGTATATTAGGAAAGCCTAAAGGTGTTTTATGTGGTAAATAAATGACCCTATAACAAATTTTCATTTATAGATTTTAATGGCTTTACAACGTCAGGTATCACTTTTAGTTTAACAAACTCAAATTAACAGGCGAACCTGGTTTATCAGATCTGAATTAGATTTTAACTGGAGGGCTTAGTTAAGGTGTATTATGAAGCGGGACCGTTAGTTCTAGCATATAAGAGCTTAGAAGTAGTCAGTGTCGAATAGCGGAGTCCCATTGCTTGTCCGTCCTATTCCCGAACTACCTACCTACCTACTACTTACAACCACTAGT